AACATAACATAACATAGCATAACATAGCATAACATGACATAACATAACATAACATAACATAACATAACAAAACATAACATACTATGTAATATAACCACCACAACAATAATAACCTATTACTTCATATCTAGAGATTTTAAAAGAGATTAACATTTTGTTTCCCATGTGAAGCACTAAAACACATTTCCACTCAAAGAGAAGCTGTGTGTGCTTATATGTGGGTCTGTTGGAAACAGACTCTGGTCTGGATAGGCAGGTGACTCAAATAGCATGAGACAAGACATTTGGTGAGGGGACAACCAAAACTGGGTAAGTGATAGTACAGCTTTCAGAAAATTTAGAGATTTGAGTTTATGATTTCTTCAGGTGCTGTGTAAGAAGGCTGAAGCTCCAGGAGCCTGAGATTTTAACAGAAAAAAGGCAATGACACAAAGTGGGATGACCAATTACCTCAGCTAATTTTCCTCTGCAGTTTCAAGCAGAAGGTCATATGCTTAGGAAATGATATCATAACCATGTTAACAACCATAACTCTCCAGTTATGTTCTTGTCACAGCTATGAAATCCTACTTCTTTTTTCTTTCTTTTTTTTCCTATCGGGAAGGGTGTGTGTGTGTGTGTGTGTATAAAACATACAGTAGGTAAATATATTGAAGGGCTCTGGTAATTTCATGGTAACCACAAGAGCAAAGCTCAAGTTGTTTGTGATGTTAACAGAAACCAGAGATGTGCTGTATGTATAGCCTCATTCACGGTCTCTGAATTGGCTTTTATATAGCTCATGGATCACACAAGAGTTTAAGAGGAAAAATATTTTCTTTAAATTCACATACATAATGTCCCTTTTCCTTCCAACATACCAGAAGAAGGTCTGATAATTTTGACTTATTGTAAAACATTACTGTATTTATTTTTTAATACAGGAATATCGTCTGCACCTAAATTTCCCTATAAGATATTTATGCTGTAAATCTTTGCTCTGAAATGAAAATCTAATATCAAAAGTGAAGTCAATCAACCAACTAAAATGAACAGAAAATTTATATGACTGAAACATTCTTTTGAAAAGCATAACCGTCTCATGAGACAAGATGTAAAGCTTTCCTAGCATCTCATGGCATTTCCTAATTTGGATTCCTTCCTCTAAGGAAGAAACCTAGGGCACCCCTTTGAAAGTTTTAGGAATGAATAGCTTGTTCACATATTTCTTTAGCGAGACATTGATGTATTTTAGGATTTGCAGCTGAATTCTGTTCTCATTTACACCTGTGCAATATCACTGAAGCTAAATTGAAAGATATTTGTCTAGGATAAAAATATCAGGAAAATTGGTGGTACTAAACTTAGTTTACTGCAAACCAAACTACTAGAAATAAGCAAGGAAAGAGGGATTTTGTGATACCTCCAGACCACATAGGTTATTGGACATTTTCAAACTGAGCTTCTGAGCCTTTTGAAGTCTTCCCATCATGACTGTATTAAAGGCAAACTCGTGCATGTTCCTATTTAAACAGGTTTTTTTTAAAATTCTTCCCATAATTATATCTGTGCAGTCTGGGCAACTGCAGCATTTGGCATAGCATTTCTTAGAAGGACATCTTAGTAAGTGAGATAAATGAGACTTTGTCGCCCGTGAGCTAGCTTTGGGGATGATGAGCTCCTTCAGAATTAGCTCCTATATTAGAAGCTGTGTAGATGAACTAGCCTTTCCCTAGTCAAATTCATCCTGTTATGAAGGTTTTGAGACTAACTATTTGGCCTGGAAATGCCATCAAAAAGAATGGGGTTTTCTGTGCATGTGTTTGAAATATATCTTTTATTTTTGCTGGATTCTTTTTTAGATTTATCAGCTCCCTCTTTCAAATCAGTAAAGACTTTTACCAGCAAAACAAGCTGAAGTGGAACAGTGTGGAAGTGGGTAATTTTTTTTGTAGGAAGAAAGGGAAAGAAAACCTCAACAGTTGCTTAATCTGTCACTGCTGCTACAAGAAATGTGTATGTAACCATGAAATGCAATAAAGTACAACTAAAAGTTTTTAGTGTTCTTGAACAACAACAACAAAAAAGACAACAATTTTTGTATGGATGACCAGGTTTCTGATTTTCCCAGTTCATGCCTGAGGCAGAAAGTGGGCTTTCAAGCAAAGTGGAGATATTCTCTGTATCTTAGAGGCTTTTAGCTGCTACCTTCTTTACTACTTTCCTCTGCACTCTAATCACATGCTATGTGGCTCCAAAGTCATTATGTCTGAGAAGGCAGTAAGCCTTATGAGTCTTAGTGGATGACTTCTCAGTTGTCGTACACTTAACTACCACACTTGCCAGCTCTTTCAGGGTCCCTTGTTTCCTTCTTGTCATATTCTTTAAACATGTACAAGGATCTGAGAAACCTTTCGGGCAATAAGACACTCAGGAATCCCTGAATCCTGAACCATAAGAGATGTACTGCTCTCTTTGGGAACGTTCTGTGTGGTTGAATGCAACAAACTTTAGTAAGCAAGACAATGGTTCAAACAGGTCCAGATAAGTTATGTCTTTTAATCCCCAGATAAACCACCAGTTCTCTGAAGATCAAAAAAAATTTTGTCTGATTATAAGTCAAAACTGGCTCAGGTGGGTTAATTAAGGAGTAGTAAGGCAGCTAGGGATCAAGCTGCAGAGGGTCTCCCATAGGCTGATGTTTGAGAGTCTTCTAAAAACTGCTGAGGGTAGGAAGGAAGGATGGGAACTGAAAAGTTCAGAAACTCTCATTAGAGTCTCTTTCCTCCTGTAGATCTCAGGAGGCCCACAAGAAGGAGGAAAAATCCTTGATATCCTTCCCCAGGCACCTTATTCATTCCATTACCTCTCAGCAGACCACCTAAGATATGCCGGAGCAGATGCCTGAGGTGTGCCCAAGTAGTTGTGCATATGTGTGTGTGTGCGTGTGTGTGTATAAATGCAAGCTGCATTCATGTGAGTGGGTGTGGAAGTGTGTGTATACCTGTATGTGTGAACAAGGAGTTGGGCAGACCAAGAGCCTGGGGAGAGGTGTTGTTACCATGACCTTTTTCAGTCTTTTGCAAGAAAACAAAATGGAGCATTTATTGGTTCTTTTTTGCTGCTGGAATTGCCAAGGAGCCCAAATTATTTTGTCAGCTCCTGATGACCCCTACTAATACAACTGTTCAAAATATTAACTTTTAAAGTACGAGTTGATATCATCCTTGCTGTCTGCACTAAATCTCAGCTAGATGAGTTCAGTGAGCCGTAATTTATCTCTTAAGCCAGTTGGTGGTTTGGTGGGTATGTGTTGTTGCAAAGTAATAGGACAATGAGAAAAAAACCAACGTGGCATTAGAAACATGTTTTCATTCTGTGTGTCTGTATGTGTGTGTCTGTCATAATTCATTACTTCCCCTGACCTCTTATTTGGCAGAAAAAAGATCATTCAACTAGAGAGATAACCTAGATATCTGAAAGCCAAAATTCCTTTGTCTATGGATTTGGAACGTGAAGGCAAAATTAAGTTTGAAGTGGGAATTCACTTTACAGTGCTAACTGAAGAGTAATTGCAACTACTCCAACATATAGCAGAGAACAGACATGTGGGCTCAATCCCAGTGCATCAGAGCAATGATATACTGAACAGACAACAGATTTTTAGGATGAAGACAAATTCAGCAAAGCAAAACAAAAAGAAAAGTATATAGTTACTGGCTGAGAAGTTCTGTACTGTGAATGAGGGCTATAAATGTCTTGCATCATGGTATTTGCACATTTATAAAAAAAAAAATCAGCATTCAGGAAAGAGATATAAGTAAAAGTGGAGAAGAAATATAAAGCTGTGTATTATATAATGGTGAGTGCAAGTGAGAAATGACCGAGGAAGCCAGAGTATGTCAGAAATTATATCCATACAGTACTGATAGAGAGATATAGAGTAGAGAGTTTAAAAAGACAGAAGGACAGCTGCTGAGTGTGAAGTTTGATTAAAGCAAAGTGAACAGAGGAGGAATGAAAGAATGCATGGTCTGCAGTAATGACAGGAGCTGACTTGTGCAAGGCCTTGAAATCTTTCCGTCTGTTCATCTAGTAACAAATAAGTGAAAAATACCTATCCAGAAATAGCATCTATGCAGAGATGATAGGAGAAGGCCTGAGACTCAGAATGAAGCTTTAAGTGACTGCCAAGTATAGAAGGCATTACACATCAAAGCTTGAGTACGTGGTTACTCCAGATCTTCAGCAGACATTGCTGGTAACCACAAAGTTTGTCTCCTAGTCTGTCATGCAACGTTTTCCAGGGACGCACAGTGCAGCCAGTTAAGGCTGAGAGCTGCAACAGAAATGCCCTCAAGTACAATTTTGTATAAAAACACCATGAAAAGAATTTTTATCTTGAAAGCATCTTTGAAACAATTTTAGGAAAAACTCTTGAATGTATTATCAGCCATGCCTGTATTTTATGGATTCATTTGTTTTAAAGTAATTATGCAAGGCTTCTCAATATGTAATTTTGCAAATACTTGTTGGGCTTTGTCACTTGAGACATCCTGGCTTGTTTTGTTCACCCATTTACACTGTTTCCTACCATTACACTGAGAAAGAATTCTGATGAGAAGAAGCTTTTATGGTGAAAACAGCTATGATATTGTACACTTTTTTTGACACGTTTTCTTTGAAGTCAGTTGTGTGCTTCCACTAATTTTACCGACTGGCTGGGCTGATGGCATCCTGAGGTTCAGCGGTTCACACTCAGGATAGAGCCACAGAGCAAACAGATGATGGAGCAAGGTATATGATTCAGCAGCCCTTGCTCTTAAGTGAATGATCCCGTATTTTGACTCATGTAATGTCTTCATGGTGCTTTCTAATATGATTGCAGAGAACTAGTAAAGTATTTGTTGCTTGGTTTAGAGGAGAACAAATAATGGATGTGTTAAGTATGCAAGTCAAGCGTTGCAGAAAACAAAAGATGAACTATCTAAATTTAATCTTATTCATTTTATATGTTCCAGATTCAGAACAATCTGTGGGCAGGGAACGCGGCTAGCGGTTCTGTGGTTACTTCCTGCATGCTACCACGAGATACGTCCTCCTGTATGACACCTTATTCCCATTCACCCCGGACAGATTCTGGCTACACAGGCTTTTCAAACCACCAGAATCAGTTCAGCCACGTGCCCCTCAATAATTTTTTCACTGACTCTTTACTTTCTGGGGCAACCAATGGACATGCTTTTGAAACAAAGCCGGAGTTTGAAAGGAGGTCCTCCAGCATTGCAGTTCTACGGATGAAAGCCAAAGAGCATGCTGCCAATATTTCCTGGGCCATGTAATATAGCAGTACCCTTTCTTCATTTCCTTTTTTTTTTTTAATAGCAAACTGAAAACATTTTTATTTCCCATATTTAAAGGACACAACAATAAGCTGCTGTGTGTGGAATGCTAGAAATCACAATATACACGATGTCTGCTTAAACAAATGCAATATAATATTTAACAATAAGCCAAGAATAAACCAAATAGATTTACCATGCATCAAGCTCAAGAAGCCCTCTTTGTTTTGGTTTTTATATAGAAATATGTTTTGTTGTACCAGTTGATGAAATATGATTATAGAACCTGCAAAAAAGAATAAAACTGTTAAGCAAATATGTCTACTCCATTGGTTTTTAGCAGTCCTGTGTATAAAATTAATGTTTTGCAAATGAATACTTCATAAGGGAACAACTCTGTAAAGGAAAATAAATTTATGATACTAAAACCATGAAGTAAATCTCTAAGCACATCACACAGAGAAGGAAATATACGATCATTCATATTGTAGGTGGAATTTGTAGACCTAACTCTCTCAGCCCCGTGCTGCTGCTCTGAGCCAGGCTCTGCTGTCTTGCTAAATGCATGTTGGGCTCATTGGAGTTACATTAATGCACAACTAATGTAATGAGAGTAGAAGGTACTCCTTTGTTTTGTGGTCCTGAGTGTATTCCTAATAAAGATAAGGAGGGTTTTTTTTGCCAAACGTATCAGTAAAAGCAGGAACACAGTGTTTAGTAGAGTTTTTAAAAACATACACAGATTATGTAAATCAACTAGTGTTTAAATGAAATCTTTATGGTTGCAGGTAGGGTATCTTCAAACTTAGGTGACTAGAAGAGAGGATGGAATAGTACTGTGACACTTTCAACAGAATCCAGACTTAGATAAAAACCCACAACAACAGCAAAGTCTTCCTTCCAATCCAGTCAGCCTTACTAACTGGTTTTGATATGCTATGGTCAAATTGAAAAGGAAAAAGTGCAACAAGGCTTGCCAGTTTCAGTCTGTAACTGATCTCAAGACGTTATAAGAGTACATTTCATTTAGTTTTAGTTACAGTTTGTTGATACTTTGCTTATTTGTTTTTCTTTTGTTGTTTTGTTTGGGTTTTTTTTCAGAGTGTAAGACTGGTTTACTCCATTTAAAGTCAATAGAAAAAATATTTTTGACTGTAGTGGCAGCAGGATTTGGCTCTCAGCTCCTAGCCTATCACAAAGGAATTAAAATGTCAGCAGACTTTCTGACATTTCTGGTGGAAAAAAAATAGAGGAGAAGAAAAATACTTTACATCTGGAGAATTGCTATCTGCTTTGATTTACTTCTCCTCCCTTTCCCCTGTCACATTCCAAGCTCCTTCAGATGAGTGAAATGTCAGCCTCTTTGAAAGCAACAGTCGGTCTCTCAGGTTCATAAAGGCAAAGTAAATTAATTGAAATAAAGAAGGACTTGCATGGCTGTGATTAGGACAGGATACAACTCTCTGGGCACCCCCTGCTCCTTCTTGCTTTTCTCTCCGACCATTAGTGAGGAATGGAGGGCGGATGGGGGGGAGAAGGAAAGATCAGGGAAGCACATTTCATCACAGCAACTGCAGAACTACCAGTACTCACAGAAACAAACTCACAGAACCCCCCAAATTATGTCTGCTCCCACTCAGGAGGCTAAACTTGAAAACAAAAATAGGAGATGAGTCCATTCTGTAATCTTTCAGTGGAATAAACAAACTTAATTTTGAAACCATTAGGGTCCATTGAAAATGGGAATTTTACACCAGATTCTTACATAACTGATTGAAAGGAAGGATGTTCTATTTGCCTTTAGTAATAAGCTCAAAGTTTAACACATATACTCCAGTTTGTGGCTTCCTAATTTTATTCTCCCTCTAAAAATTAACTTCAACTTTGGCCTGAGAAACTGGGAAAGAATATTCTGGCTAGAATTTATCTTTTCTTTTTTTATGGTCTGTTTAGGCAGCAGTAAAATGAGCCTTATGATTTAAAGCAAAAAAAGGAATTTTATTAGTACAGGTAAAGATACTAGTTTTATACAGACAATTGTGATGCATGTAAAAGGATGAAAGTGGTGGAAATACAAAGGTTTTTTTCAGCAGGTCAGTTCTAAAATGTGGTTTTCTTTTTTTTTTTTTTTAAGTTTTCACAGAATCATTTCTTAAGGTATAGCATTTAGAACATGTCAAAGTGATTTGCAGATAAATTTAATTAGAACATCATTAGGGGATAAAGAAGCAAAAGCTTACTTGGCAAACTTCAAGCCTTTTTTATTGTTGCCGCTCTTTCAGTTTACTTATTTATTTTGATAGTAGAATTTGCTATTATTGCCTTGTGAAATCCAGAAAAAGGTTCATTTTTACAAGGCTTTTTATGTCAAGAGTAAAATTAAACAATTCCTGGGAAATTATTGCAGTGATGGAATACCTGGGGAGATTAAACATCCATTTTTAGAACATTACAACATTTTTAGATGCTTGAAGCCTCCAAAATCAAAGTAAAAAAAAAGCCCTCCTTTTAGCAATGGAAATTATTTGTTACATCTTGCTAGCATAACTTTCTGCATTAGACAAACAGGTATTCAACCCTTCATTAAACCTGAGGTGTGATAAGTTGCAGGCCTGCATTAAGCTTGTCATGCTCTTGCATCAGCCTCGTCTCAAAGAATGAATGATAGTCTGTTGGTTGCAGCGTTTCATTCAGCTAATGAAAAAGTATCTTCGTGTTAGATGTCAAGTACTACAACAGGGTCACATTCTGCCACTTTTATTTAGTAGCGCTTTACTCCATGAGTAGATGCATTGATGTGAGTGAGACTACTCACATAGGCCAAATTGTGAATCACTTGTAAATGTTTATTCACAATGGCCCCATTCATGCAAAGGGCCGCTCAGCACAACATGAGTAATCGGTTCATAATCAGGCCCAGCTTAAGGTACTATTCAGCTCTGGTAAGGATGGCAGAATCTGGCCCATGCTGGCTCAAGGCCAGACTCAGATTTTTTAACCGAGATGAGTAGCTCCTTATTCCACAAATAGTGCAAATAGGGCTATTTGTAGCGTTCTTTTTTTACAAGAAAATTCTAGAAAAGAGGCATTTCAGTATATGCAAATAGTTTAAGTTTCTATTCAAGGTAAATTATTTTATTTTCCGCTGGACTATACTCCCACATTTGACAGGACTTGTGTTCCTGTGCTTTGATTTTATCCACTTAATGATTTCTTAGCACGAGCAACTAATCTTTTCACTGCTTCTTCAACATGTGGCAAATGCACTAAAAACAAAAGGAGGTGATTTACATAGCCTTCCTGCCAAGTACTTTAACTAATGTTTGAGATATGTGATCATCATGCAATGCTGAGAAGTAAATTTATAGAACTTCTGGGCAAAGAGTCCCTATCCTGTTAAAAGAGAAAGTGAAATATTGTTGTAATTATTACTGTGAAGAATTTGTGATGACATAACACTGAGCTATTTTTTCTCCTATGATTAATTCATCAACAATTTGAAAATGTTAAGCCTGTATTTGAACAATTTGTTGAACAGATATAAATTTATCTATGAAAATTAAAAGACCTCTTTAAGATTTGTACAGACTCACGAGTGATGGTCAATGCTACATTTAGCAGCTAAAGACCCAGTCTCCTTACCGTAAAGAAGGTCAGAAAATTTAACACAACTGATTTCTACCTACAGTTTAATCAGCTGTATTACATATCACAGGAACATATCAATGAAGGCATCTTTTGTTGCTGAGAATAAGCTGAAATTAACTATATTTCTCACTTCACTTCTTTACTGTCATAATATTTTACACGGTCAAGTGTTGAAAAAATCCAGTTCAATATGTTAAAAGCATTTTATTTTGACTATGAACTTTATGGTAAAGTCCTGAAGTATATAATTTAACAAATATGATCAACACTGTGCATTTAATACTGACATACTTTAGCATGATGGAAGTAAACTATTTTGTTTGCAAAGAATAAAATATTGCAGTGTTTTTAAAATTACACAGATGAATTAATATTTTATTGATTAAATTAATTAGATTAATTATTAATCAGAGTTAAGCTGATCAGAGTTAGAACTCACTTAAAACACTTATAGTGCTAAAATTCAAAATGTTTCCAGGGGAAGTTCTTTCTGTGACAAGGCACTGATTTCTTCCCCCAGCTCTTTCATAAGTAATTAACGAGTGACCCACTCATCTTATCTCCAGAATACACCCTTTTTATCCCTCTACAGTGATCTTCATAGATTCGTCTGGCATCAGAATGATAGTAAGACATTGTGAGTTACCCAAAGCTCAGTACCCATTTATTTTATACCACTTTTAGTAGCCCGAAGAAGCTGAAGTATATATCTAGTTTAACCAGGTTTACAGCTGCTTTGTATTGCCGGTGCAACACAAAACAGCTGTGGTTCACTAGTGAATTATCATATGAAATATTGGTGATATAAGCAAACCTATCAAGTAAACATCCAGAATGTAAAGTTGTGGTAGTTGAAAGAACACATTTTAGATTTAAATTGTGTAAAATAAGCAGTAGGCTGGGCAAGCACTGAATGTGAGGTCTGGGTATGAGAGAAGGAGTGTGCAGTGAGTACGGGGGTGTAGTGGCTGGGAATGGCAGAACAATCTGGGAGGAGAGTCAGGGTGCAGTGTTGGAGTAAAGAGGAAACATAAACCTAGGGCATCCCTCCTTTCCCTCTCTTGCCTAAATTCCCCAACCTAAATCTCATCAGGACCTGTGAACATAAGAATTATTTTATTGCCACCTCTCCTATCTCTATTTGCAAGAACAGTATGGGTTTAAGGAGGGATATAACTCTTGAAGGGGCAGGCCTGGTAGGTGTATGACTATCACTGCCAATAAGAACATACTGGGAAATTAAAGAGTAATTCTGGAGAGAAGGATCAAGTCTCTGCATTCTCTAATAATGAATTTCAGGTTTTGTTTCCCTGCATTTTTAAGGCAGAATGAAGGCAGAACATTAAAGCACA